AGGAGGAGGAGGAGGAGGAGGAAGAATAAGAGTAGGAAAAGGATGAGAAGGAGGAGGTGGATGCGGCGGCGGCCGCGCTCCACCGGCCAGCTGCGGGCGGGAGCGGAGCGCGGTGGAGCCGAGGAGCTACGCAGGTCCACCGCCGCCACCTCCCCTCTTCCCCGGCGTTGACCAGATTCGGAGCATTGAGCGCGCGCAGCGCTCTTGGGGTTACCTTCGACCAAGATAGTAAGGGTGCGCGGTAAAGATGCCAGGGCCTTGGAACGCCACGTTGACGTTTTCCGTGCGGAGGGTAGCAGAAGGCCGAAGGAGTACCGAAAAGGGCAGGGATGCAAGGGCAGCTTTGGAGACTTTCCCCATTCCTACTATCGTGGTTGACTGTAGGCGCGGTCGGTTCGACCTATGTTGGCGCATTCACCCACAAAAACAGGCAACTATAAACAAAGGGACACAAGAAAGGCCCGTTGAAGCGTAGAGCATACTGCGCCCACCTGGTCAGATGGGGGCGACGGGGTGATGATCCTCTCCCCTTTTCCCCCCCTCTTGCGGGGGGGGAAGGGCCAGAGCAAGGCGACTGGAGACAATGGGCTACGCGCAAGGCTGACCTTGCGTAAGCGCGCAATACGCTAATGCCGACACGCGTTCGGCGGTCGGGGAACCCAAGTGGGCCCGCACCGAGGGTCACTCCGGCGAAGGGTCGCTCGCACGTCTAGTCGTTCGCACTCGGCTTGCCGGCCCCCGGAAACGGCAAGACCGTTTCTTCACCGTTTCCCAAAAAGTGTCCCTTAAAAGAGGAAGCGCTCAGAAAAACGGCGACCGGAAACGGGACAAAAAAACGCTCCAGGACTGGAGCTGGACCTGGAACCGATAAAACAACGGCAACGGACTGGGTTACAAAAGCGGGGTCGGAACCGGTACATGAACGGCAATATGACACTGGTAACAAAAAAGGCCCTGACGCTTCCAGGGCCCATTAAGGTCGAGACAGCGGCAATTCAAATTCAGTCCCCGGGCCCTCTCGGGTTCGCGGGCTGCGTCCAACCGTGGCCACGAGGCAGCTCCCGCCGAAGGCCAAGCACCGCCGTCTTGACTCGACCTTCCTTGAAAGGCCGCCGAAGGCCACTTCGAAGCCTAGCATCGCCCTGCGGGCGACTAGTCACTAGTTGACCAGTCGGTGAGCGCGGAGGAGGAGGAGGAGGAGGAGGAGGAGGAGGAGGAGGAGGAGGAGGAGGAGGGAGGAACGGGAGGAGGACGAGGAGGAGGAGGGAGGAGGAGGGAGGCGAAGGGAGGAAGAGAAGGTGGAAAAGAAGAAGCAGGAGGAGGAGGAAATGGAGGAGTAGAAGGAGGAGGAAGGCGAGAAAGGAGAGGCGGAAGACAGGACAGGACAGGACATCCGCGTGAGGGGTTCAACGTCAACGCGCCCGCTAAGGTGCAGTGTAGAGCGAATGCGTAACTCCCTTGCGCGGGTGTCATGCGGTAAGGATTCGGGAGCCCGTCGACATCTTACCGAGGGAACTGCCAAGGCCTGCGCAGAGGCGCGCACGCTGCCCTCCTCACCCCAAGCCCTCACCTCCCCGCCCCTCCACCACAGGTGAGCGTGCGGCCCGTTCGCAAGGGGGGGCTAGGTTGCTAGTCAGCAGGTCTCCGATGAAACCAAGGGGCGCGGCGTCGCTGGCACTGCGTTGCCAATGGCGCGCGCGAGCGGGCCTGCGCAAAAAGGAATGTTCCCTGGGCCCATCTTTAACTTGCGAGCCAAATTCCTCTTTGTATCCCACGGAGAAAGAGGACCGAAGGAGAAAGGAAGAAGGGAGATGCCCTCGCTAGTGCGATCGGCTCTCCCTGCGCCAAGACAGATGCTTTACCCCGCGCCAGACGCGCTCAGAAATGCGCTGCCCCTGCTCTCGTTTACTTCACCTCGCGCCGGCTCGCCCGTCACTTCGTCGTGTCGTTTCCTGCAAAATGTCGTCTCCTGCAAAGTGACGTGTCGTTCCCTGCGAGAGAATCTGGGAAAACATGCGGCGCTTGCTGAAGATTCGCGCGCAATCTCCGCCCAGAGAAATAAGTGGCTGCGTATGTGTGTCTGTCTCCGGCTTAGGTGCGCAAATTGGCCTGCGTTTTAATGTTCACGTGGCGGCAGTTGCGCACTTGTCTCCCAACCTGGTAGAAACTCCACTGTTTCCCATTCCGAAAGTGCGTATTCCATTTCCGGTAAAACGCGAGCTGTGCCGCTGTTGGCCAAATCGTGCCGTAATTCATTCCCCCGATGAAAGAAACAATGGCCAAAGCTGTCCCACTTAATGTCGCCGATGCCGTCCACAATTCTTTCGTCGCGCTTCTGCGCCCGCTTTTCGAGAACCACTTCTTCAACAGCTGTGTCTTAACCGTTCAGAGGTCAGAGGGGGGCCCCGCTGGGAAATGCGGTCGGTCCTTCTGCCTCAGCGTCCTACTCCTTCTCCACCTCCTCCGCACCTGCACGCTCCCTTTTTGAAGCAAAATTTCA